CTAAATATTACAAACATCAATATTTACTCCCAAAAAGCTGGTGAGTTTATTTTTATATACAGCTGTTTTTGTTTTTAAATTTGTTGTCAATGCAATTCTTATGGGGAAAATGCGACATTTGAGAGCGTCTTGTGCCCTTAAGGATAAGAGATTTTAAATTCTAAAACCTTTATGCAAAACTACAAATTGAGACGAATTATTTTACACATCAAACGTTAAAATTGGTCCAGAAATAACGGAGGAGTTTTGTTCACAAAAAACAGCCCTCACGTATCAATATAAGAGATTGGTTGAACCTTCTACCATAACCATCCGAATTGGTTGAACCTTCTACCATAACCATCCGAATTGGTTGAACCTTCTACCATGCATGGTAACATGCATTCTACCTTAAGATACTTGTGTGTTTGAATGCATTTAATTTTAATTCCAAATGAAAAGTTTTTGAAGTTTTATATGATTTAAACATTCAAATATTATACCTATGTACAGAGTAGACGACTATTTAGTTTATGGCATATTCTCACAGAGCCTACTCCCCATACTAAAATTAAATAGAAGGGTTGTTTTCCACCTTCAGGCTTTATGTTGATCACTTATCTCTCTAGGAAGCTTTTCCCGAGTCTTGCAAGATTAGGATAAGCAGTTTCTGCAATCCATTGCAAAACATGTTGCTTTAGGCATCCCCCCAATTATATAATGTCAGCCATATTTGTAGAATACCAACCAATTATATAATTTAAGCCTTTATTGTAGACTAGCTGTAACCCGCGGGCTTTGCCCCGTTTAACTTCTTAATTTTCAAGATTATCTCGTTCGCATGGCTCAATCACGTCCTGGTTGAAGTTTGTTCGCTACGCTCACTCACCTTTAGGTTGGAGCTCGTTCGCTGCGCTCACTTGCCTTCAGGTTAGCTCGTTCGCTACGCTAACTCGCCTCCAGGTTGAAGTTTGTTCGCTACGCTCACTCACCTTTTGGTTGCAAATTAGCTGTTGTCATAAATGTAAAAGAAATAATAGTGCTGCACCCTGTTGGTAATCCTTGTAACTTTAATGCTATTGAACATCATAGAACAGAACCAACTTGTTTAATTGAAACAGCTGTTAAGATTCAATAATTCCATTTCTCATAAAGTTAACATGGGAAACTCCAGAGTCACTGGGGCGGAGCCCGAAAGGATTTTTGAAATAAGAATATGTCTATATGTTAATCGGGAATGTGAGCTATCATTATGCCAAATTTCAGCCCAATCCGACCAGTATTTTTCGCGTTCACTTGTCACAAACATACATCCATACATCCATCCATACATCCATCCATACACCCAAACTTTCTCATTTATAATATTAGTAGGATTACCAATCAATTATACAAGGTGGCTGGTCAGCAGTATTAAAAAAGTTTTTGGTGTAAGTGCAAAGAAAATGGATTGTGATGATGCATCTAATAGGTTCAAAGTATAGAAATTGGCTTCCCAAAAAAATCATTTTAATTTTTCTAAAATAACCATGTTTTCAAACATAATACACTAGTTTCTCAATTACCTGCAAACGGATTTGAGTAGATGATGTCATTTTTGTGTTCTACATTAAATTTTGAATAAGAATCGTTGAAAATGATGGAGGATCATTAATAAAAACCCCATTTGAAACTGTTCCAAAGATTAAAATGAAGGTTTTTGATAACAATTTAAACATTATTGGTCTATTGCACTTTCTACACCCTGTATACAAGAAGGTAGCAAAATATGTTGAAAACTGCTCCATTTTATAAGCTTTCCAACCATATGCTACACTTTTGAGGTTTACTATTGAGGCAGGTATAAATAAAACTGTGTAAGTTTTTAGCTCGATTTATTTGGAAACTTTTTTTATAAAATACATCAAAATAACAACTCATGTCCGAAGGTTTCACATTTCATCTAGGCTGCATTCCTTTGTAACATTTATGGATTACTATTTAGCGAACAACATGCAGGAGTTAATGGTTTGAAAGTTTGTAGACATTGTTACATTTAATTATTAGAACCATTGCTTCTCATCGACTATATTTTAAATATAAAAAGATAAATAGATTTTATTATACTTACATAATAAAATATTATTTCTTAAACAATATTTATACATTTGGAAAAATATATACAAAATAATATATTACAACCAATATACAACTTATAGAAAAAGCTGGATATTTTACGACTGATTTTATGTTTTGATAAAATTCAACCTTAATAATAAAATAACTCAGGGGTGTTCACTGTTCATTATAAGTTTTTGTAAACAAAAGGTTGAGGTTTAAATATATTAAACTAGAACAAAATATATTTTGTTCAAAGGAAAAACAACACATTTAAAATATAACAGAATTTTTATAATATTTTAAAAACCTCTTCCTTCTTTAAAAATTGATACTTGCACGAGTGATACACCGATTCATTTAAAAAAACGCATACATCTATACTCTGCCGAAGATAAATATTAAAAATCCAGCTTTTTCAAAACCTAAACTAATTTTATACAAAATAATCTGTACATATAAATTAACATCTCGTATTTATATATGTATATATATCTATGAAGAATTAAAACAAAAAACATAACAAAATGCAACTTATTGTAGGATAATATACCGAGAGTAATCGAGGATTAAATACTGATTGTTTGAATTCAAATTTCTTTGGTAGATCAGTCCCTAGTTGTTATTTACATTAAACATCGACAACGACATGAATGCAGGATTTAATGGACTAAAGTTCAACTTTAGTGTTAAAAATCTCTGTTAACATCTAAGGAAACAAATATAGACTTGTAACATAAGGAGTTGTTGACGTGCTTGTTGAAGTAATTAAATATTGCTTGTTTAACAATTTCTCCCTCTAATTTATGGAGGAAATATATTGTTTCTGTCCAAATTTTCAAGTTTGAGGTTTTAGTGGAAATGTTCCTTTTGGAGTTTCTTAAACCTATGATGTTGCGACTTACCAGTATTAGGTTTTCATATGATCATCCAGAGTATTTTCATTACTGGATCTGCAGCTTAGACCTATTTCAGGTAACTTAAACTTAACTCGCTAACTTTACATTGTTTATTCCTTAAACATTTTATTGATAGAAATGCAAATACTTGTTATTGATAAAAAAATTGTTAAATTTGAAATATGACTGAACTTATTCTTATAACAAACATTCTACCGGTGTTGATTAAGTTGGTTTACATTGGTCTGTTCTTATTTAAACTATACAAATTTTTACTCATTTCAAATGAAACACAATGTTTATGTGATATATTCTTGTCAGTTGATTGTCTGAATCAAGGTCCCACTAGAAAAAACAGGCCATACTACAGGATTCATAACGTCACACTAGTGGATGGATTTCATTGATAAATTCATTGCCTTCACCATTCCCATATGTTTTAGGTAAATAAACAAGCTGGCTGTTTGTGAGATTTTAATGGTAAGAGTTTAGTACAACTATCCACCACTGTGACGTAGTGTTGCGCTGCCTGTGCTGCAGCATGGCCTGTTTTTTCTAGTGGGGCCTTGTCTGAATGCTCAAAACTTTGGTCATCTTGTGATTTTTTGTGGGGTTTGCTCCATGAGAAAGGACAGAGAGATCGTAGACAGCGTTCTCACCCACATAACATAACACTTTCTCAGTGTAAACAAATTTTCAGTTGACTTATGTACGAGGGCGGTTTTTGCGTATGCCGTCATTTGTGCACAGAATGTCACCTTTTGCAGCTCTGTAACTGACGTGTAAGCTTCATGGTGAGTTTTTAAATTATTGAATCTCCTGCTGCCTGAGACGTTTTTGACCGCAACAACATATCTGATGCTGACATTTATTGCCAGATGACTGAAGTTTATGACCCTAATGCAATGATAGTGGGGAAAGTGCAGAAATGAGGTAGGGAGTTTAAAATGGTTGTGAAAATGTTCATTTTGGAAGGAATTTCTTTTTGTTTACCTAGACTTCTCACTGAATCAATTTTTACACTCCACACTTAACCCTCACTCATTGCATTAGGGCTATAACCTTCAGACACCTGGCTATGAATGTCTGCATCGGATATGTTTCTTTTAACAAAACACGTAACACTGAACTTATCTCGCATGCAGCGGGAGATGCAATTATTTTAAAAACACACGGCAAAGCGTGTACATCAGCTACAGAGCTGCAAATGGTTTCATTCTGTTCACAAATGATGCCAATAACCGTCGAGAAGCCTCGATGCAGAATACTACATATAGCCTGCCATGAGACATAACTGTTTGAGGATAAAATCCCATCCCACTCATGGATGGGTCAAATGTGCAGTCTGTGGTAGAGACCCACCTGAAATAGAAAGTGTATGGCTTTTGTGGATAATTTCAATCTTTGTGTTCATAATATGAGGACTAAATCTTCATTACACCAGTTAATGATGTGTCGGTGCCTGAAGACGATTCTCTATACTACCGGTTCATAGGAAAGGTACCAGTACCGCAAATTGAATTTAAAATTCAGACCCGGTACTTCAGTACAAGGTTTAGGTCTACTAGTTGCACGTCTGGCAACTACGGCTAGTTGACAACCATGAATTCCATCCCTCGATGCCATGTTACTTATATAATGTTTCAATTCTTCAATTACATTAAAAATACACCACAAATAATAAAATTAGAGCAATCTGTCATTGCAACCAACATTCTTTGACCATGAATACCATACAATAAAATTTTGAGAAGAGTGAAATTAACGAAATTACCCAAATTAATTACCTAGGAGAAATGAGTACTATTTAGTTAGGTACCAAGGCTACTGCTGCCAAGATAAGAATACATTTTGATAGCAACTGGTATCAGTAACGACTTTGAAAATACACTGATTACTAACAATAACAATGAGTTAATCGTTATCCCTGGAACTCAAAGGGTTAAACTTTTAGAGAGAAATGTAAAATGTCGAACGTCAACAACCCCTGGCGTGTTACAAGCTTTGTCACACTCTAGCATATCTCGGGTCTGCTTGTCTATCACAAGTAGGTTCAGTCTGTCAGAGTCTTAGAAGAGGAATGGCAGAAAGGCTACGAGAGCGAACCTTCCAGCACAGTGTTGTCCCACAAGGCTCTCTGGTCACCTGGAAAACACATTGAATTAGTTAACTTTTGTTTGGTACCGTTAAATTCCTCAAATCACCTGTTCAGAAAAATCGGACAACTCAAAAGTAAGCCAAACCGAACGTGTGGTAGGTTGCTTAAATATTGATTATCATGATCGATGACGTAAAGGGTGTACTGTAAATGAAATTAGTTGTCCTATCCGTTCAAAAAGTGTCAAGTCCAGAGACAAAAAAGCAAAAAATCATTTAAACTAAACTTTGTGTATGCCGATAGTTAAGTTATTATTTGGAACAGGTAATCATTATAAATCAATCTTAAGGACAGGCAACAGACAAATATAACAAAAATAATAATTATGAAGTTTGGATTGAAATATAAATATTGATCTATGATATCCTCGTACCTGAGGGACAGTATCCAGGAGCTTGTGTATCTATGACGTAGCCTGTGACACAAGCGTCCTTCACCATGTGACACCAAGAGGTGTAGGTCCTGTTGTTGGAGCCACACAACTCCACCACATGTCTTCCTGTAATGTCACTACAGTTAGTATATTCAGGTTGTGTATCTATGACGTAGCCTGTGACACAAGCGTCCTTCACCATGTGACACCAAGAGGTGTAGGTCCTGTTGTTGGAGCCACACAACTCCACCACATGTCTTCCTGTAATGTCACTACAGTTAGTATATTCAGGTTGTGTATCTATGACGTAGCCTGTGACACAAGCGTCCTTCACCATGTGACACCAAGAGGTGTAGGTCCTGTTGTTGGAGCCACACAACTCCACCACATGTCTTCCTGTAATGTCACTACAGTTAGTATATTCAGGTTGTGTATATGACGTAGCCTGTGACACAAGCGTCCTTCACCATGTGACACCAAGAGGTGTAGGTCCTGTTGTTGGAGCCACACAACTCAACCACATGCCTTCCTGTAATGTCACTACAGTTAGTATATTCAGGTTGTGTATCTATGACTTGCTTGTGACACAAGCGTCCTTCACCATGTGACACCAAGAGGTGTAGGTCCTGTTGTTGGAGCCACACAACTCAACCACATGTCTTCCTGTAATGTCACTACAGTTAGTATATTCAGGTTGTGTATATGACGTAGCCTGTGACACAAGCGTCCTTCACCATGTGACACCAAGAGGTGTAGGTCCTGTTGTTGGAGCCACACAACTCCACCACATGTCTTCCTGTAATGTCACTACAGTTAGTATATTCAGGTTGTGTATATGACGTAGCCTGTGACACAAGCGTCCTTCCCCATGTGACACCAAGAGGTGTAGGTCCTGTTGTTGGAGCCACACAACTCCACCACATGTCTTCCTGTAATGTCACTACAGTTAGTATATTCAGGTTGTGTATATGACGTAGCCTGTGACACAAGCGTCCTTCACCATGTGACACCAAGAGGTGTAGGTCCTGTTGTTGGAGCCACACAACTCAACCACATGTCTTCCTGTAATGTCACTACAGTAAGTATATATGACGTAGCCTGTGACACAAGCGTCCTTCACCATGTGACACCAAGAGGTGTAGGTCCTGTTGTTGGAGCCACACAACTCAACCACATGTCTTCCTGTAATGTCACTACAGTTAGTATATTCAGGTTGTGTATATGACGTAGCCTGTGACACAAGCGTCCTTCCCCATGTGACACCAAGAGGTGTAGGTCCTGTTGTTGGAGCCACACAACTCAACCACATGTCTTCCTGTAATGTCACCACAGTTAGTATATTCAGGTTGTGTATCTATGATGTAGCCCGTGACACAAGTGTCCTTCACCATGTGACACCAAGAGGTGTAGGTCCTGTTGTTGGAGCCACACAACTCAACCACATGTCTTCCTGTAATGTCACTACAGTTAGTATATTCAGGTTGTGTATCTATGACTTGCTTGTGACACAAGCGTCCTTCACCATGTGACACCAAGAGGTGTAGGTCCTGTTGTTGGAGCCACACAACTCCACCACATGTCTTCCTGTAATGTCACTACAGTTAGTATATTCAGGTTGTGTATCTATGACGTAGCCTGTGACACAAGCGTCCTTCACCATGTGACACCAAGAGGTGTAGGTCCTGTTGTTGGAGCCACACAGCTCCACCACATGTCTTCCTGTAATGTCACTACAGTTAGTATATTCAGGTTGTGTATATGACGTAGCCTGTGACACAAGCGTCCTTCACCATGTGACACCAAGAGGTGTAGGTCCTGTTGTTGGAGCCACACAGCTCCACCACATGTCTTCCTGTAATGTCACTAAAGTTAGTATATTCAGGTTGTGTATCTATGACGTAGCCTGTGACACAAGCGTCCTTCACCATGTGACACCAAGAGGTGTAGGTCCTGTTGTTGGAGCCACACAGCTCCACCACATGTCTTCCTGTAATGTCACTACAGTTAGTATATTCAGGTTGTGTATCTATGACGTAGCCTGTGACACAAGCGTCCTTCACCATGTGACACCAAGAGGTGTAGGTCCTGTTGTTGGAGCCACACAGCTCCACCACATGTCTTCCTGTAATGTCACTACAGTTAGTATATTCAGGTTGTGTATATGACGTAGCCTGTGACACAAGCGTCCTTCACCATGTGACACCAAGAGGTGTAGGTCCTGTTGTTGGAGCCACACAGCTCCACCACATGTCTTCCTGTAATGCCACTACAGTTAGTATATTCAGGTTGTGTATCTATGACTTGCTTGTGACACAAGCGTCCTTCACCATGTGACACCGAGAGGTGTAGGTCCTGTTGTTGGAGCCACACAACTCCACCACATGTCTTCCTGTAATGTCACTACAGTTAGTATATTCAGGTTGTGTATCTATGACGTAGCCTGTGACACAAGCGTCCTTCACCATGTGACACCAAGAGGTGTAGGTCCTGTTGTTGGAGCCACACAACTCAACCACATGTCTTCCTGTAATGTCACTACAGTTAGTATATTCAGGTTGTGTATCTATGACGTAGCCTGTGACACAAGCGTCCTTCACCATGTGACACCAAGAGGTGTAGGTCCTGTTGTTGGAGCCACACAGCTCCACCACATGTCTTCCTGTAATGTCACTACAGTTAGTATATTCAGGTTGTGTATCTATGACGTAGCCTGTGACACAAGCGTCCTTCACCATGTGACACCAAGAGGTGTAGGTCCTGTTGTTGGAGCCACACAGCTCCACCACATGTCTTCCTGTAATGTCACTACAGTTAGTATATTCAGGTTGTGTATCTATGACTTGCTTGTGACACAAGCGTCCTTCACCATGTGACACCAAGAGGTGTAGGTCCTGTTGTTGGAGCCACACAACTCCACCACATGTCTTCCTGTAATGTCACTACAGTTAGTATATTCAGGTTGTGTATCTATGACGTAGCCTGTGACACAAGCGTCCTTCACCATGTGACACCAAGAGGTGTAGGTCCTGTTGTTGGAGCCACACAACTCAACCACATGTCTTCCTGTAATGTCACTACAGTTAGTATATTCAGGTTGTGTATCTATGACGTAGCCTGTGACACAAGCGTCCTTCACCATGTGACACCAAGAGGTGTAGGTCCTGTTGTTGGAGCCACACAGCTCCACCACATGTCTTCCTGTAATGTCACTACAGTTAGTATATTCAGGTTGTGTATCTATGACGTAGCCTGTGACACAAGCGTCCTTCACCATGTGACACCAAGAGGTGTAGGTCCTGTTGTTGGAGCCACACAACTCCACCACATGTCTTCCTGTAATGTCACTACAGTTAGTATATTCAGGTTGTGTATCTATGACGTAGCCTGTGACACAAGCGTCCTTCACCATGTGACACCAAGAGGTGTAGGTCCTGTTGTTGGAGCCACACAACTCCACCACATGTCTTCCTGTAATGTCACTACAGTTAGTATATTCAGGTTGTGTATATGACGTAGCCTGTGACACAAGCGTCCTTCACCATGTGACACCAAGAGGTGTAGGTCCTGTTGTTGGAGCCACACAACTCCACCACTTGCCTTCCTGTAATGTTACCTCAATTAGTACATCCAGATCTTGATTTTACATAGCCTGGGGTAAAAACGTTCTTCATTATTATCAAGTTATTACTGCTTCACATGTAATCCAATACTACTTAAATTATGCTCTCTTTATCTTTTGAATATTTACCATTGCGATCCGGACAAGGTAAAGATGAACAAGTGACACAGCGAGGATGATCCGTTTTTGGCTGTCTCAGACAACGTTGGCCCAGGCTGCAGTGGATCTGGTCACAAGTAGCTCGAGCTGCAAATATAGTCACTACTTTAACCACAAAACATACTAAGACTCAATGACAAGCAGGTAAATAAAGAAACACTATCCCAATGGGGCTTATTTTGGTCCAAGCTAACCAGAACCTACGATGATCAAATCATTTTCAACTTTAAATTGTCACTGGTTTCAAAATCCATTTGGATAATCTTGAGAATCTCTTGGGGTAAATTTGAACTGTGAAGCTAGTTCTGTTAATACGGTTTCCATTAACACAAGTCTACATAAGTCATTTTCCAAAGTCTTCATTCGGACACATCCATTTAGCCACTAGACTCGTTTGAGAAAATATAAGACTTCAGATCATCAGTCTAAGTTTTTGTCAAAAAATCATATTCTCTAGTTTCGTTACAGAATTTACAAAGCTACACAGATCATTCTACACTCATCCTTACTCGTATTTGGGTAAATACGCACCAAGGGGGATGACGTACCCATCCCAATAATTGATTATTTATATCACTGCCAAAGCTTGCAACACACGTGACAACATCAAAATAAACAAATACATTTTCCAACACAGCACGAACGAAAATTGCAAGATAAAGTCCTCCTGATTTTATGATGAATATTGAGGAGAATTAACCAACACAATCACCTTTTTACACAAGTACGAAATTGAAATTTTACATCACTTAAAGCACCGGAATACCAGAGCATACGTCCCGCATACGTTATCTAAATTCCCAACTCGTGTTGTATCCGATCAGAAAACGGTTGTAAACGTATTTACGATTTGTCTATCTACTCGGTCGTCACGATGTCGCCGTCGCGTTGCGTAAGTTTATTCCGGAGATATGCAAACGACGTGAGGCAGAGTGAGTTATGTTATGTCTAGAGACGGAGGTCGGTGACCTTGAGTGGCCTTGGTCAAGGACGTCTGAGTCATACACTGATACCTAGATATTGCAGACGCCATCTCCGCCGCGCCGCGTGCGCTACTTTCTTTCTGCCGGTTCATTTTTTGTGGTAGGTGCGGGCAGAAATTTTCGCCGAGATGTTTGATTTGATAACCGGTAACGTGAGTTCACAGTGTGTATGTAATGTTTAGATCTGATGTTGCTCTCTTCAGTTAGAATCTTCGACTTTTTGGCTCTGAAGTAGAATAAATTATAGATTTTCAAGGCACCGACACAGGGTGCGTATTTTAGATGAGTGATGAATGGATCAGGATGATAATAATAGATTTGTTTCTCTGACTAAGATCAGCCGTTTCTTTAGCATAGACGATTTATTGTTAAATTATCAATGACAGCCAGAACAAAGTCCAGTTACGATAGAAAAGCTACTGGCTTTGCCAGGACCTAACAGATGACCTAATTACCAGCTCTATGAATATGAACCAGTTGTAGATAAATTGTTATTCTTGTAGAACATAGCTGCATGAACCACTAAGTAAGTGCGTTGCTGTACAAATTAGATTTTATCCAATGATTTTATGCTTAAGTTTTTGTTCCTGTGATTGTTGATGGTATATAAAAGATGGCTATAGTGTACGATAAAATGCTTTTTCAATGGCAACAAAACTCTGAATTATGGCAATCATTGTAGCCACACCCACAATATAAAACGGTCTAGATATTAGGTCTCGATTCTTACGACATCGCCTGTCTTTTTTTGGAAATCCCCGAAGTATTTGCAGATCCATACTTCGCAATACATATTACATAATTCATTTCTCTCATACATGAGATGAGCCAAGTTAAAATGTTGTTTGATGCGAAACATTTGAGGCTCATTGGTAGCTCTTTGTTTATAGTGGGGCCTAATTAAGAGAATCCTTTTCTCCCAACCTCTAACGAAATTCTTGAGAAGTGAGCGCCTCCTGCCATATTGTGTCCTGTGCTGGATAATTTAAGAGTCGCTTGAAATGCAATCAACTTCACGGACAGACAGTAAGTGTGCTTTGTATTATGCAGCATGACAACAACCCGTACATGAATTCAAAAAAAGTAGACTAGCTATATGGATTGGACCCGTGATTTTTAAGGCAAAAGACAAAACCACCTAAGTTACGCATGAAACAACCATCGCCAAACACTATGTTTAATGCAGTGATTTAAATCATATTCTAGCGGAATCTCGTTCACAACGATACAGCTAATGCAGGAATGAATGAATGATTTTAATCAATATTTTCTATGAGCCATTACAACGACGAAACATCTACGCACTTTAACGTGAAGATGAGTAAGGATGTACAAATGAAGGAGATTATAGCTGTAGTAACTAGCTGCTGTACCCGTGCTTCGCAACGGGAAGAAAAATCAGTTTCATAATCATTGACATCGATTTAGAATAAATAATCCATGATCAAGTTTTAGATGAAATAATCCTACCACATAGTCGTGTGAAATATATTTAATTTCTTTGGATCAGCTGTCTGAAATTGTGAAATGAGCATTTGGCAGTTCTTCTAGTTTACATTGAAATGTCAAAATAAAGATCAACATGAGTTTTCTCATTCTGCCATGGAGACCAAACAATTTACTTTTGACAACCTTGTCTCAAAACTTTGGACATTCGGGCGAAGCCCGAGGGGAACTCAAGGAAGTGAATATGCCTATGACGTTCCTATATACTCCATCTTCGTTTTGGCTGTATCTGTTTATTATTTTAGTCGTGACAGTGACAGCTGCCCAGACAGACACCGCCTCAATTTTATAATAGAGTATAGATAACAAGCGGTTTGTTAGCCAAAACATTCATTTACTGTTCTAGGGACCGAACCATCAACCTTTTGAACACTAGGCAATCACGATAACCACCCTACTAGTAGTTCACGTTGTGGATTTGCCCGCAAAGTATCCGGAAGAATTTTATACTATGGCCATCACGAATTTTAACTTTTCTGCCTCAAGGAACTTTCACGTAGGCCTATTGCGCAGTCTTTCGTGAAACTGAAACTCCAATAAGATAAGCTGACTCAGTGATACAAGTTGGTTCGGAAACTTTCTTCAGTAGCGATGAAGAAATTTCCTCTACGGAATGTTCCGAGTCCCAGATTAGCATTAGCGGTCCGCTGCCGTAGATCGACCTCTACCTTCACCTCTGCAAGTGGAGCAGACACCCTCTACTCCACCCACACCCGCCAAATCATTAATTTTACCCGCGAAAGACACGTTTTAGACCGTTTTCATGATGGCGCACTAATGGCGCCCGTGATTGCCGACTTTAGGCTCTAATTTTGTTTTCTCAGCCTCCGTTGAGACGCGCAGTTTTTAATTGGAACAAATTATTTTCACTTGAAACAACCACCTGCAATAATTGCTGTCTGCAGTTCCAATTGAAGACTGCACGGGACCAATTGGTACATGGCCTGAGGGGGCGACGATGCAAGTAATGGCAACTTTGGGAAACGCAACGGCAATTTGTAAAGGGTTGATGTATTTCTTCAATCAGACTCTTTTGACGATTTATCTTCGTTTAGCAGGTTGATCACCTTTTAGAAGGGTAATAGATTAATTAACAATTAATAGCAAACATCTACCCATATTAAGATGTACTAGAGGTCGTCTCGTGGTTGACCAAAAATATGTATTGTACAAACTGTAAATAAACACTGTTAATTTTCTGTTTATATTTCGTCACCAGCATGGCAACCCATAAGACCCATGCTCATGTGTGCGCTTATTTTTAGCCTATTTAAATTTATGTAGGGATTCTGCACATCTACAGGCATATAACTTTCTAACTGTATGCGTGGATTTTCCCTGTGATGCACACGAGCTGAGGAAACAGGTTTTTAAAGAAACATGCTTGCTTATTAATACATAGATTTTTAAATAGAAAGAAGATGATAAAATAATCATGTCAATTTGGAATTGATCCAAAAGCTCCCTCTCTTTCATTGGATAAAACTTCCTTTGGTTATTCTTTACATCAGAATCCACCGGTATAACACTCTGACTCGTGTTAGGTACCAAGTTTTACATGCCAAATATTTGGTAAAGATTAAAAATGAACTCAGACTAAATTGTATGTTTTTTAACATTCTTTATCGATTATAGTAGTTGCAAGTATGGGCCTAAGCAACAATAACTCTCTGTAAAATTGTCGAAGTGGAAAAATGTTTAGTAGAAAGTGGTCAAATAAGCAGTGGTCAAATAAACGGTAAAACCATGTGAAAAGTGTACATTACGTCTGCTGAACATAGAAAACAATTTGTTTTGTTAAGAAATTACAATTTTTTAAAAATAATCTGTTTTCATGGTAGGGAGTGTTTAGTTAACTTTGGAGTGAAAAGAGAACAAATTATGATGGTGATAAAACAACACTTTACTGTACCCTCCCTCTTTCAGGCCCTATCAGGCTGATGGCTCTATCAGGGATCTGGAATGGAGGCCTGGCCCGATTAACCAACGAGCTTTAAGCTTTATAGGCTAAAGTTTCCTGAACCCTAAATTATTACCTATGTAATAATTTAACAAAAAAGCAAAAGTATATCTTTGAAAACACGCACATGGGTTTCATAGACTTTGATTAATTGAAATAAACCATTTTAATTTATAGTTCTTTACCAAACTTGACCGATTAAAGCTAAATTCAACGTCACCGGTTAATTATCGATGTGGACGTTTTCACAACGACCGTAAACGTCCGAATGGCCACCGGATCAGTGGAAATCTTCTGAAATAAATCCAAACGGTGCTATCATTGAAACTGTCCAGGAAATTGTATCACGTGGTTAATTATTCAAAACTCAGTGCAAAGTTTGGAATTGCAGTGTATAAAAACCGAAGGTCAATTGCAACACCTTCGCTTGGCACTCTGCAGAATCGAGACCAGATGCTTAAGCCGGACCAATAATAGCTCTTTGAACTCGAATGTTTCCTCCGGCGGCTGAAATAGCGTTACTCGGTGCTAATTACTTTCCTATGTGCTAATCTTATGCAGGCTAAACACACGCAAATACATCAGCAAAGTTCAACACAACAAAGTTCCGTTGAGAATCACATAGAAATCAACTGTAGGAAATCATTACTAATTTAGTTTTGGAAACCAAATGAGTGATAAACAGTGTTTTGCATCCCCTTACAAATTGAGACTGCAATGGTAATTATGTTTGGAGAATGTTTAAGGAGTTTTCGTTGATGGTAGGAAAAGGCTATTGGCAATGTTTGAAGACAATTTATTCCTAAAATGAATACAGGGACTTGTTTTGTTGATCTACCCCGATATGTTAAAACATTAGGACATCCATAATAGTCTAAGAACAAATCATAAAACATAGTAATGTAATAATGTATAGTGTTGAAAATGTTTACAAAAAACTTGAGAAATGCTTCACTAACAGTTCTCTTTAACGCAATCCTCAAACGAACAGATAAAACATAAAACACGGTTAGATACTCTTAAATTTGGATCTATAAAATTCCTGTGTGTCACATTTAAGATAGTTTAGCCACATCTATTCATAGCAGACGCGTTAAACTGGCAAGTGAAATTTATAGAGAAGGCTGGAGAAAAGATGATTTCGTTTAGAGTAAACATCTCGCATAACTTGGATGCTTTCTAAATTTATGCAATTAAGTCGACTTATTCATGATGTAACTTAAACATAGTATTTTAACATCAGTCGATGTACTAATACATGTTTATAATTTGATGTTAAATTCGATAGATTTTGCTATTAATTGACCAATTATTCAAATTTTCAATCATAACATTTTTGGCATTGTGTACACTAGACTCGAAATATTATGAGTTTGATAGGTGAGACAAAATGAACTTGCTACATTCGTATGGAATTTTAAGTATTGTATGACCTTTGATGATCAGGGCTGCTGCACCAACTCAGAAAAGATAACATGAATGTATGTGAGTATGTCAATTTCCCTATCCAATAAAGGACTCTTCCTTCAGCAACCTTGCTTTAGAATTAGCACAATTTTGGGTCGACGTTGCACAATTGCAATATAATCTAGACCCATTGAGTAGGCAATCCCTTTCTCTGTTACCAGTCAATGTAAAACAACAAAATAAATCAGTTTTGGTACTAACATGTATCAGAAATACAATTGAAAATCTCACCTTTAGGATATTTTCAATGATAAGGGCCACTCATTTATAGTGCGTTGCGGTAATTAGGTTAGGTTAGGATAGTTTAGTTTATAATGACAAATAACGTAATATCCCAAATCAATAGTTGTGATTTTGTGTAATGTGCTGCAAAAAAAAAACTGTATTTTCATGCGTTTTGAAAATTCTAGATTGTTTCTCATCATCAACTACCAAACTAAACTAACCTAACCACTGCAACGCGTGGTGGCCCTCTTATTTCAAATCCTTTACACTGTAACCAAATAAACGTAAACTTACGGATGCACTTGCCCTTGTAGGCTATCGGGATGGCTTTCCCCCGGCGACAAGCCGCTTGTCGCAGGTGACAGACCGACTGGTAAGTCCTTCGGTCGACTCCACACACAGGCCTGGGCGGTGACCCATGGGAACATCGGCGCGAGCATCTCACACAGTGCGGCGACAGGTTCTGGTCGAGGAGGCAGAACTTTCCAGCCGGACAGCGGATCCTGTCGCACGAGCCTGTGGTCAGTACTGCCGGTCATCGTCTGTACCAGCACAGAGAGAACAGGGACGAGGATAGGAAGGGAACAGGGAACAGGTGGGAAAGGGAGGAGACTGTAATGGAGAAGGGGAGGAGTCGGGAAGTTAACGAGATGTACAGAGAGGAAACAGTTAAGAAAAGTGAACACTTTAGAGGTGGTATGGGAAAAGAAAAACGAGAAAACAAGAAGGTAAAGAGATGTACTGATAAGATGGAAACAGTCAAGAAAAATGAACACCTTAGTGAAGGAGGTATAAGAAAAAGAAAAACAAGAAAACATAAAGGTTAGGAGATTTACTTATAAGAGATAAAATCCAAGACAAATCAACACCTAAGGATGGGAGGTATGGGAGAAGGAAAACTATTCAGGAAGGCTAGGAGATCTACCGATAACAGGGGAAGAATTAAGAAAAGGGAAGACATCTGGTAAAGAGTTATAGGAGAAGAAAAAGAGGGTACGGGAATGTAAAGAGATGTTCCGGTTAGAGTAAAACAGTTGAAAATAGGGAAACGTATTGGGGGTGATGTGTAGTCAAAAATGTATGAAGTACAGGGATGGCAACGGGTGGTGACGGAAGAAAAAATCAACAGTTGGAGAAAAATAGGCAAGGAATAGGGAATGTAATGAATCTTATTGCAATGGTAAATAGGAACTGATAGAAAAAAGAAGGTAATGTTTGTGTAGGTATGACAAAAGATTCTGGAGGAAAAGTAAGACAAAGAAATGTAAGAAAAGCGTTTGGTAAAATGTGGAAAGTATTAGAGGCGTCGAACAAGGTACTGGAGGAGACAAGAAATTTTAAAGAATGCAATAATAGAAAAAATTAGTTGAGAAAAGGTAGAATAATAGAGAAGGTTTGGGAGAAACCACAGGAAGAAAAGGATTGGCAATTGAAATACAGTACTCCTAATGTAAACAATAATAAATATTTGGGTAGTTAGAGTAAGTGTGCATGATGGTACGGTAATGTAGGAAGGGACAGTGAGGGACAAGCCAAAAACGAGGAAATACGCTGAGTAAAGGGAGAAAAGAAGTGTGTATACAATGAATTATGATTACGTTGCAGCATGAAAAGATGGTCACACTGCATATACGAAAGATTAACAACACACTTTACGTTCAATTGGAGATTGTGTGAAAAAGGAGTAAGCAAATTGACTGCAAAAGCCACAGTCAATGAACGTTGTAGCGGATTGGCCAGTCAGTGATGTATTATAACATAAATTTCACCAAAGAATATATGCAACGTCATATATTCATCATATACATTCAACTATGACAAATGATTGAGCGGAGCGAGCGAAGCGAGCGTAGCTCTTTAGGATCAACTTCAATGCAACAAATAGAGAAACATCACTCAATAACGGCTGAACGCATTTCAGCCAAACTTAACAAAATTACTAAGACTAATAGTGAGATGGTTTTTAAACAAGCAAATTTCAATTAGATAATACTAAAGCAATTTAAAACGAACTTAAAATTTCCAATTTTTAACATTAGGCTTATGGGACTAAAGTAGCCATATGACAGTTTTTTGTTTACAAGAAAAATGTAAACAAGAGAATCATAAGGTATTTCTTAACTTTCTAGACTTTTCTTTTAAACGTTTTTAAACCATTCCTATGATTTTAATAAACAAGAAAATGCCGTTAAAACATTTTTTCAAGGCGCGGAATTCACTGAAAATTGAGAAAATATACGGAACTACTTTCTCAATGCGCGGAGCATAAACAAGGAGCGGAGGGATACGGACCGCGGTGACTACTTTCTTGGGAACCTATTTGTGTTGCCAGCTGGTTAGAATTTAGAAACAGCCAATGTTAGAAATCAGAATCTAATAAGCGATATATCAAACCGCATCGAAATCTATATTTAATCCGATAATACCTCACAGGTTATATTATGTTGAATTACATCGACGGTGCAGTAAGTTATTACACTTATTAATAAAACCATAGACTTAAAACTCAGACTGAACACTGATCTAATTTCGGCATGTGGGGAAGGTAGGTCGGGGTTTATGAGTATTCGTGGTTTATGAGTATTAGTGTTTTGAAGTAAGGTTAGATTAGGAAGGTAAAGTGTAGGTTATAGGTAGGTGATCGGGTTGTTTATTTGTGTTGCACCATATAATTTTTATCTTTTGGAATAGTTGGTTAAACGGGGAAACGATTACAAAAATGCTTGCATTATGGTATTAACAAGCCATCTACGGTATTCTAGCGTTGTCTTTATATAAAGTCAATGATTCTAGAAAATTACTACATAAAAACCAAATGAAAGGAACATTTAGATTTGGACCTTTGACCATAGCAAAACTAACATGTAATTTATGAAATGTGAAAAGTTGTATATCATTAAATACTATTCTGTAATATTAATAATTATTGTTCGGCAAATCCTCATTTTAATGGCTCGGCTGAAAATGGAATCTGCATTTTTTGAAACAGTAATTTGGTAACAATTCAGTAATTTCAAATGTTGATAACAGTAGCCTATCCTGTATAAATACTGTTATTTGATTGCCAAGCCACGGGCTATACATACGTCCAGTTACAACCATAATAATAAGTAAATAAATTAATTACCTAGGCTTATAGAAGTCCACTTTTAACCACGGTATGGATAATTGTCAAGGCTTGTCCAGAAGTAGGCCCCTTTTTATTATTATTCTGTTTTCACTTAAATCAGCTGAATGCGATGTTTACTTATTACTTATGTTTAGGCCTACATTTCAGCCATTTTATGTTGCACGGTTGAATTTAAATGTCAAATTCCCCCTCCTGTTGTTATACTTTAATACTCGTTTTTTTATAGTTACTGTTATTTTTTATACTTAAATACTTTAACCGATTGTAAGGGTGAAAAATGTAGCCCAATGTTTTTGTTGTTGTAGGCTACAGTTGCATTTGAATGTTAAATTACCTTTCTCTTTTTTATACTTTACTTTTTGGATGTTAATATCAGATTCCAACTACTGTAATATTTTCATGGTCAAAACTACCATAATGCACTTCTGGAAGAGGTATCTGAATAACAAGATGTAGTAAAAACAACTATGAATTATTATAATTTTAATCAATAAAACCAGCATTAGGACATCTATTGACTTTTTTACATTTAATTACTTATACAATTATCAAATCACGTTTGTTCCGCTCAACTGGCTTTCACCTCTCTGAAAGCAACCCTAGTTACATATGTTTTCAACATCAATAACTACTTGTAAGCCATCTTAGATATTTATGACCATTTCTAAAGCGTTTTCTAAATTCAAGTTCTACAGTAAATAAGTTTCATCAGTGTCCACTTTAAATTGGGGGTTTCGTTTATGAGGATATTTTTACGTTGAAGAAGATTGGAAAAGTTGAAAGTAAATAATTTCTTAAAAATGAATTTAGGTTTTTAAATTCGGTTCAAGCTACGTATCATTGATGTGCCACCCACCGATTCAACTGCCAAAGTTTGTTATCTATTTGTTACATTGGTAAGTAGCATTTACCACTTTGATTGATGGAGAATTCTATCTGCATCGTGCACTGAACAACGATTGAGGAATGACTTAACAATGCAGGTGCACACGAGTAGAAAATGATTGCAGAATGATAAGCTGCATTGTTCTTGGCCAATCATCAATAAGCTTAGTGATTAATGTGACCCAGGCTCAGTTTTGATATTTCGAACTCAAGTTTTAGAACAACCCCAGTGACAATTCACAATCACAAAACAATATTGAGAATATTCCGTATTTCATTAGGATCAATCTTTAGCTAATTAATTCACCAACCACGTCAAACAATTTTCTGCTCCGTTTGTGAAAAAACCTATCCTACCCATGAGCTATGTACTGTGAAGCACAGATCCCTAAGCAATGTTCCATTGACTTAGATACTGTAAATATTATTCTCATTATGTTGATCAATCTGAAGCCTGTTTCCGCATGCATTTCATGAACATTTACATCAAGTGTGCTGATGTCAACTTAATCTGTCTCTATGTAGTTGTAGCGTGTGTAGTAGTGGTTAACAGCGTGCGCTCTTCTACAGTAGACAAACAACAGTTTAGAAATACTTTCGATCGTTTGGCTATCAGATTTTATGAAAAACAAGGAATAAATGGAATTGCAACACCCACTCGACATGGGACTGAAAGTACATCTATGGATTGCCTTAAGCTGGTACAAAGGATGATACATTTAGGAGCCAGCCTTAACTATTAGCAAAGATTACACATGCTACGCAAAACTTTGCGTAGGTGGCATGTGTAATCTTTGCTATTAGGTATGTGAATAAGATTAATTTAATTTAGACGAATCGCAGCCTCCTAAATATCGCAGTGGCTTTATTAAACAAACTATAACTGATCATTTACAAAGTTCCTAAACAGAGTCAGCTCTCCAGTTCAAACCAGATATAGAAGAAAAGAAAGAAGATAAAATATCTGTTTAAATATTCATTATATTTATTATATTTGATTCATGGTCATCAGTATTATTTCAGTTAGTATAAAGGTTCATGTTTGTAATATATTTCATTATAATGTATTGCCATTGTTTTATACAATGGATTACAGCATCATCTTGTAAACATTCTTTCTCCATGCTTAATGAATGTAATTGGCATATGCTGTTTTGTAGGATTGTAAAATGAAATACAGGGTTGGGCAAATGTGTGGATACCCCTAGTTAACTTTTTAATGGGTGACACCAGGAAAACTAAACTCCACATACCTTCATAAAAAATAAAACGGCACTTTTTGGACGCTATCCCAATTTTTCCCGGGACCCCAAAATGGGGTATTTTGGGGGTAGCTCCAAAATTTTAAAAGTAAAGCCCCATTGAGTGACACCTCATTTTAAAATACTTTATTAAAGAAGAATATCAGCGAAAACTAGAGGTCTCTATCTCAACCCAGTACGACATGGTGGTCATTTTAAATTTTCATCAGCCTGAGAGAAACTTTTAATGAGGTTAAATTGTACGATGAATTTTCAGATGACCGCCATGTCGTACTGGGTTGAGATAGAGACCTCTAGTTTTCACTGATATTCTTCTTTAATAAAGGCCTTTCAAATGAGGTGTCACTCGATGGGGCTTTACTTTTAAAATTTTGGTCAGAAGTATAAGTAACTGCACTGACTTTCAACAGTAAGTGGATTTCTCATCCTATTGTAAAGTCTGGAGATGGTTTTTATCTACGTTTCGTATTTAAGGCGTTTTAGCACTAGAGCTGATTAAAAAATTGTCTCTTTGATTATAATGTAGATTTTACGATTTGAAACAGAATGACGAAAAATATAGTTCATCACGGTCAAAAATGCCTTTGAACCCACACAATTTTCCTCTGACTCACAAAAAATTTGGTGAATTTAATTGCTAGTAATGAAATGCACAATATTTGAGTACATTTATTTCCATCGAAAAAAATTGTGATAACGACAACCGCAAAACAAAATCGAATTTCAAAGCAAAAATGGAAGGAAGACAGAAGGCAGATTGTCTAGCTATAAGTTACTGCCTGGATATGAATCACATTGAACGGTTTCTGCGCCTGAAGTGTGTTGAGCTCTAGCCTGAAGGCCTGAAGGAGTCCTGTAGGCGCATCTCCAATCTTCCAATTATCTATGCACACGATGCAACACTGTAGCGATGGCCCGGAGCGTTTAACCACCTCTTTCCCCATTCCACAGTGGCCAGACCCGTAATTTCAACAACGGCTACACCTATCCACACATTAGCCGAGATCCAGATAAATGGCGTTGGGATGTTCATGTTTCATGTACTGTTATCTGTGGGCGGAATTCTGCGCTGCATTTTAAATCGGTTTCGAATTTGATAAATGCGCGAATCGTGGAGATAGAGAAGATGTGTCAGGCTGTTGTAATCCGTTCAGGAATGAGAAAGATGTAAGAAATGTTTTCTGTGGTTTGATTATGGGGGTTGATTATGAAATGTGTGTATTTTTCAACTACGATGAAGGAGTTCGAAAATTTTCCAATAAATGAGATTGTTCAACTATGTGTTGGATCCAACTCAGTTATTTTCCCTCTAAAACTATACTACGCATCCGACCGAAGAATACGCCATAGATGACAAGATCCAATCGTGATGCTGAACAAGAGAAATCCAACTGAACAAGGTTTTTACAGTAGTTGTTACATCTTGCTATTTTGCCAAATTGAAAATTATTATTGTGAGTAAAACGTATTAAAAAAAACTGTTGCTTGTCCTCTGTTAAGTATAACTAAACAGATGTGTAGTGTTGATTGAAGCACGCACTGGAAAATTGCTTCAAAACGGGAGATCAGCTTTCTTCATTTAACAAACGTGCATTCGAATATAACCACAAATGAAACTACAAAATAGGCCATACATTTTAAAATAGGACGAGAAGTCATATTCTTGCAGTATCAATCTGCAATGTACATGGTTAGTATATTTAACATTAAGTTAATTTCAGCACGTTAGTTCTCAATCTAAAACTAGACCCCAATGTGGGAATGGGATGAACCCCAGAGTGATTCATAAACACTAACATACTAACGTTGACAGATGCCGTGGTATGCGACGGAGAGCGACGCGTTGTTCCTCCGACAAGCTCGCTTCCTTAGTTTGCAGACAGAACGGTAGGTTTTGCCGTCAGTGCCACACACAGGTCCTCGGTACGACCCCTTGTTGCCTCTACAGTGCGGGAAGCAGATGCACTTGGGCATCCCCTTGCGCACGACACACTTCTTGCCTGCTCCGCACTGCACGTCTTGGCACGACTCTGGAAAGCGAAACAGTATATTATTGTGAGAACATCTTTTTAGTTTTCAATTTTCACATGCTAGGACGCTAGGCTCTGCAACAGAAACGCATTACTTCAGGCTAAGGTCCCGGCAATATGAGATAGCATGCATCTAATACGACCCTTCGCCACCATCAAGTGCATAAAGTGTTTTTGAACTTGTTCAAGGGAATCGCAAAGGCTTATCTGGTTCGGGGGCCATATTATAGATCCATATTCGGTCTAAGGTATAACAGAGCATCTTGATTATTGCAGGGGAGAAGGCATTTTTAAATGCCTGAGCAATGAGTCCCAGTATAATATCATTGGCGCAGAGGCACATCAGATCATTGGTACATTTGCAGAGGTGCAGGTATTAGTGATGTGAACATTTGGCTCCAAGCCAGGAGATAGGTGGATTCCTAAGTCCTTAACCAAGCTGACTATTTCCAAGATGGTGCCGTTACAGGTATAGTAAAAAAAACACTGGTTTTGTTCCTCCCGAGGGTCATGACTTGGCTCTTATTTGCATTGAGCTGAATGTTATTTGTGAAGCACCAGCGTTCAATCTGGTCTTGGAGCTCGAATTCTTGGTCTACAGATGAATCTCATATGAACTTTTTATGTCATATGACAATAATCAGCAAAAAGCCCAAAGATGGACTTAAGGTTGAGCCAATGTAGTTGATGAAGAGACCAAGCAGGAAAGGACCAAGGAGGGATCCTTGAGGCACACCTGATTAAACCTTCAATGGTATGTAGGAAGAGGAGCCATCGAATTTGAGTTATAGGATCGCGACCATTCAAGTATGTCTTAACAACTGCAAAAGCGAACTGATGGCTCACAAAGCCTTCAATTTTGCAATTACTACTTTATCAATGTGGTACAATAGTATTATCATTATCATAGCTTTATCAATGCGTCATCAATATTTCGAAATTATACTATCGAGAGGCATTGTTAAGGAGAAATTATTTCACCTTTGAAAGTTCTCCAAAGGTTTGGAGTTCTTGGAAGTTCGTTGGAAGTGCTTAGGAAATTTGTCAATCTTCTGTCAAGGTTCAGGGAGGTACTTACTATGATTTTGTCAAGGTTAGGAGATTTTATGGAATTCGATTAAGCTTTAAATGACCACCATTTTGAAATTTTATATTAGACCAAATGTTAAGATAGCAAGTCTCATTTACTTTTTCATACAAATTGGTTATAAAAGTACAAAGATGGCAAAGATATGGCATATATGAGATAAACGTTATGTTTTCGAGGAAAGATATTATTTTTTGATCCTTCTAATAAACTATTATAAATTGCCTCGCAACGCAGAAATATGGCGATTCTTCACTGACTCGCCCAATGCCATCTGCTGGCTGATTAAGTGCTTGTTATTTATGTAAATTAATTTGATCAATCTTCATGTTACAAAGAAAAATACTCTACCGATACCTTTTTTCCCAGTAAGGCTCCGTCCAAACTCTATGTTTCTTGTGTCAATTAATTGTACAAACAACATTGACTGCAACATCAATTGCAGTGTTTTAAAAATATATAATACTGAACAAATAAGTAAAAAATTGAAACAGAAGTCAAAGGCTTGAAGATACATCGTAACTGTCACTTCTCTTGATGCAATTCAAAAGGTTAACTCAAGGAAAAGTAAACAAACAAAAACAAACTAAAACATAAACAAATCTAACAGCTGATATTTAAAATACGATTAAATAGAGCCCTCTATAGTTCGGCCGCTTAAGAAGCGACCTCCTCCAGCATTGGTTTAGCATTAGCGCGCAGGTCGTTTTCTAAGCGGCCGAACTATAGTTGAGGTTACTGCTCTTAGGAGAGGGTTTATCGAAAAACTGATAATTATTGACGGGCATAGATAAAAACATAGTCTATGTTTTATCTATGCTTTCATTCAAGTGTGCGGCTTATGGTTTTCTCAAAAGTTCAGATCCCTGTTAGCTTTTTAGATTTTAGATACAAAAGTTTGGATTTTTGAGACTATGTCGAATTGAAATTCACGTGAAACAACTGGACCAATAATTGAGGTAGAATTAAGGAGGAATGTATCCACTTTACAACAGGTGAACCTATGTTTTATTATGATACTCTCTAAGGTCTCCCCCCCACTGGCTACCAAAGTTGCCATGTTATTCGTACGAATAGACTTACTATTAGAACTAGTAAATAAACCAGCTGATCCAAAATGTTTGGTGTTTTATTTACACGAGAGGTCGTCCAGTGGTCGAAACTCGACCAAAAATATGTAATGTACTCACTTCTCTATTTTCACCCCACACTGTAAATAAAACATGTGATTGGAGTTTCTTCCATTTGTTTTGATTTTCTGTTTATATTTCGTTGTTATTTCGTCACCAGCATGGCAACGCATAAGATCCATGTTAATTTTTTCAAATTTTTAAACTCATTTTTTGTGCTTATCTTTGAGCCTATTTAAATTTATAAAGGGATTCTGCACACCTACAGGATAATAGCTTTCTAACGGTATGCGCAGATTTACCCCACGATGCACACAATCTGAGAAAAAAGGTTTTAAAGAAACATGCTTGCCTATTAATATATAGACTAGAGGTCGTCCAGTGGTCGAAAACTCGACCAAAAATATATAAATGAAATTAAATGAATGAAATGAACAATTATTATTTATTCAGGCAAAGTTAGGGTCACATTGCCGTTTACAGTGTAAACACCACACTGTAAATAAAACATGTGTGATAGGAAATTGTTTTGATTTTCTGTTTATATTTTGTTGTTATTTCGTCACCATCATGGCAACCCATAACTCCAATGTTATTTTTTTAAAGTTTTCAAATTCATTTTTTGTGTTTATTTTTTAGCCTATTTTAATTTATAAGGAATTCTGCACATCTGCAGGAAAATATCTTTCCAACAGTATGCATAAATTTTCCCTGCGATGCACACGAGCTGAGAAAATGGGTTTTAAAGAAATATGCTTGCCTATTAATATATAGATAGATAGAAGATTGTGGAAATTTGTAAGTTATTTAGTAATAGGTTATGTTTGGATGCAAAAAAGAAGAGTTTTGAAGATTTTTGCTTATAATTTTCTGGGAAATTTATATAATTAGCTACTTTACAGGCTCGAATACTTTAACAGAATGTGAAGAGTTTTTACTAAAATTAAAGAATTAGGAATATTTATCTTACGAAACATCAATTAATTATAAGAATGGATATCACTTCACTACACTACGATACGTTGTCGGAGACGTTTAGATATACTATTGACGTAGGGCTTAAAAAGTAAGTACAGTAGGTATACAAAATAAAATAAGTTTATATTTTCAAATTAAATAATATATTTATAGCTTTTTAACACTTCAGCGCCACTTATGTACTGTACTAAGTGGCCATATGTAGATGCCTTACAAAATTTAAACCCCTTACACAAATTTAAGGAAAACAATTTTATTACACTAAGACTAATGTAATAACATTACTTTCTTTAAATTAGGCCCCTACTAGTAGTAAAATCAAGGTCTGTTTACAAAATGGCAAAGTAACTATTTTATACAGCAGATCTAAAGAACCGAGTTATTCTGTTAAAATTGTGTCTTCTTACCATAGTGAAGCATGGGCAGCTAGTTGTTAACAATAAAGACATTTCCCGAAGTTTGACAACTTACTTACTGGACACCCTGAATATGGGATAGGATATGATTAGGTTAAACAAGTACTTTGTTTTTTGCTACTTCAGGTAATGTAATAAAGTGTTTTTGTGAAATGTCAATTTCTCAGTTTGAAATAATACATTTGATGTGAAATTTGATCAATACACATCCATAAAGAAGGTAACTACAACAGTTTACATATTTTTCTATAAGTAACAATGGAATTTTAGACACTTAGTTCTTATTTTATCCTTGACCATCAACAGTACACTATTTAATGTACTATATTATTTTTTAGGTTTCTATACCTGAACATACGGAACATCTGATAGAATCCGTAAACACTAGACTTGAATAGGTTCTGTGTGGAACTAAGGCTGGACGATCACCTGTACGAGTATGGCTGAGTTTTACTGGACTTTTTGTCTGTTTACCGCACCTTGGATGGGATTTTCGATAGTTTTTCGAGGATGTTGAAAGTTTATCCGTCCCGAACCGACTACAAAATTATACTGAGTGGTATTTTTCCACTTGGAAAAACAATCTGAGGACTAGCGGAGTTTCAATGATTTCGTGTTGATCTACGTACCCTACCTTTATGGGATACCTTCTACCAACAAGGGGCCTGCCTGGACACTATAGCTACTGTCTAAATGTTTACGACTACAGCATTGAGGTGGTGGATACCATGGTTACGAATCAATGTCTTTGTCTCCAGGGTAAACTTAGATTCGGCCTCGGTGAGTACAAATCTATTTTCTTCTAAGTGAGGGAGCTTTCGTGGACGAGTTAAAACTAGCTTCGACAGTGCGAGTATCGTGGTTCATGAACCAAGATCCTTATATATAATACGTGAAGGCGATATCTACGAAACACTACTCTTCCGTTAATAATGGACGGATTTTTACAAACGATGTGTCAAAATTAAGTATTTTTTGTGTAGACGCCCCCTTTCACCAATTCCTGTAACACAAGTCCTCGGGCTTTGCCCCGCAGACCATCAAAATCCCAAGTATTTCTTATGAAGAGAAGACTTTGTTTACTTTAACAGACGAATAATTTGTATTAATTACAGCTGTTCATAGTAAACATATGATACACACAAGAGCGTTTGTTTTCTGAGTGAGTTCGTAGTTTCGATAACTGGAGTGGAGTGATTGATTACATTTTCTTTGAGTTGACTCTTTTAAGTCATCAGAAATAAAAACTGTTATTCTTACAATTGCTCGAATTCGAGCAACAGGTGCACTAGTATGATCTATTTCTCGAAGTATTAGTACAGACTTGATTTTGGAAAGAAACCCTAAAAAAGGGTTTTCGAGCATATTTAAGATTAATGAGTTAGCCGT